ATTCTGGACAAGCTGGAGTCTCCGAATGCTCTTCAAGGGCTGCCCCATGTAGAGCACGTTGCAGTAGTCCAGTAACCAAATCTGCTGTTGTAGTTACAGCCCATTCTCTAAAGTTCCTTCTTTTGGAGATGCTACTGAAAAACATTGGCAATTTTATCATGAAGACCCACATGAGTGCAATTTTTTTAAACTTATTTAAACACACAGATATATCATTCAGAAGTACACTCCCACTACACAATTTCTGTTATTAAAAATCAGCATATTGTAGAAATTTAAAACTATTGAAATATTTAAAAGTCATACATGAAATGAAATGCTCTTATGTTTACAGCTCAAGGTGGTAGATTGAACAGACTTTCTTCAACATATCAAGTATCTTTAAATAAAAAAAGCACAACTGAACTATACATATAGATGTTTGTAATATATGAAATACTGAACCTGTAATGCTTGGAAATACTGTTTGAGGTAGTTTCTTTTGTACTGGCAGCCCCTGTGGATTCCACATCTGAGGTATTGGATGAATGTGCAGTTCCATCAGATCTTCTGAATGATGTCATACAATAAAAATTGACATAGATATTACAATTTCATATAACCTAGCATTAATCAAATTGACAAATATTAACTTTTGACCAAACCAGATTTAGTCGGTCAGAAGTAGGGTAATTGTTTTTCTAATTTTAAGACAAATACAGGTTAAAATCTCATTGCCAGAACCTTGAAATGAAAGCAAGTTCTTGAAATTATCTCCTCCCTTATTAGGCATGGGGGAAGGATATTACAATCCAATCTTTTATTTAAGTTTTTAAAGAGTTAAAATTGTAGGCAGGTAATCCTCATTTAGCAATTACAACTGGAACCAGCAAAATGGTTGTGAAGCAAAGCAGCCTTCGTGTGAAACCACAACTGGAGTTACAATCTTATTTCAGCTTTCCTTTGCTTACAAACCTGCAAAGATCATAAATGTGAGGACTGGTTGTAAAGTTACTTTTTCCATCACTATTGTAACTGCGAAAACTCATTAAACAAGGCAGCTAATAAAGGATTGCCTACAGAATGAAAATACAGTACTGTATGAACAGACCATATGCATCTGTTTCTGCTCCAAAGTACAAAACTCCATGTCTATTTACAGAATGGGAGATTATTATTACTTTTACAAAAGGGCACTCATTTCTTTTCTGTTTTCTGTATACTGGTTATCTCCCTTCCTGTAACGTTCCCGTGGTTCNGTACAACGTGCCTCCTAAAACTGTTTCCTTATTTACAAATTACATACACCTTATATAAGCCACTACTGCGGGTGAACTCTCGCTTTGATTCTCTTCCTCTTCGCACACCGAGGGTGATTCTCAAAGTGCGGCTCTCCGACCATGAGCGAAATAAATATATAAAGTTTTAAACAGACAACCGAAACAATATTAAAGGTCAGAGCCTTCCAGCTTGCAAAGCTGACAGCAGGGGAGGAAGTGCAGAGATCTGACCTTTTTCTCTGCGACAAGAGGTAGGGCAACGGAGCCTTGGGAAGACACTGAGTGGTGAGCCCTGCGGCCTGGAAAAAGCTCAGAAAGAAATGAGAAATGGTCGGTGGACGATTTGGACATCTCACGGGAAACATAGATAGAACAGGCCCTCTTACGTGTAACCTGCAAGTAAAGCAACAGCAGCTAGTGTGCAGGCCATGCCTCCTTTCCAACGCAGTTTGCTAGGGAGTGCCAAATTGGTGACAGGAGGCTGGGCAAGTCTACGAAATGGCAACTATGAGAAGGGGAAGGGGAGCTTTATTTATTTATTCAGTTATTGACAAACAACTCAAGATAGTGAACGTAGCAAAGCACCTTCCTCCTCCTATTTTGCGGAGGAAGAGGAGGAGAACAATCTTCTGAGGTGAGTTGGACTGAGAGAGTGACTAGTCCAAGATCACCCAACTGGCTTTTCATGGCTTGTTGGAAGAAATGGGTTCTTCCTTCTGGGTTCAGCTCCAAGTGGGGGGAAAAAACACTGGGAACATGGAGGCTGCTTGGAAAGATGGTTTAATGGTGAACAAGACCACATGGCTTGAGCTCCTGAACAGAAAAAGGGGATCACATGCTTCCAGATGTTGGGAGAAGAAGAGAAAAAGAAAAGGCTTGCTGAGATATTCTCCATATTCTCTGTTCGGCCCCACTTCTCTGTTTCCTGTCCCTGTGTAAGAAATATATTCTGATTGGTTGTCAGACTCCCATGGGGCCATGGAGGGGCAACTCTATAGGCTGTCTTGAGTCCAGGTTTGGTTGGGCGGTGTTTCTTCCCAGGTGCCCTGTGATGAGATTGGCAAAGGGCTAATACTATCATGCCTTAATCCCATCACCCTGGAGCCAAAGGGGGGATGTCTTTGTTATGTAGAATAGACAGGCTCAGGCATTTTAATGGCCCATTAAAAGGTGGGGGCTATTAAGAGTGGGTCTGTTTCCTGCCTAAAAACATGTTTCTCCATTTCTGATCCAGGGAAGTATAATATTCTGCCTTCTTAACATTTTCCAGGATATCTCATTTTTCTAGGAGAAGGGTTGGATGCACAGGACTTGAACTCATGGTCTCTTGCTTTCTAGCCTGGTGCCTTAACCACTAGACCAAACTGGCCCTTTCCTCTTAGTTCATGGAGGGGCATCTCCTCATCCTCTCTCTTCTTTCAGCTCAGTCTTATATTCAATGATGGATTCAGCCTTAGCTTCTTATTTGCAAGACTGAGAGAATGGTAGCTTGCAAAAGATGATAGATACACTGTGTGTACACACACAAACACACACACACACACACACGGAACAAATGAAGATACTTCCTTTTCCATGATGGAGTATTCATCCCCAATGCCAAGAGACACCCTACTGTAGCTCCCACAAGTTGTACGGTTGCGTTCATTCATGCTGTTTCTTTGTGCCCTGAAATAAGACACACTTCACTTCACTTTATTTGTGAGTCTAGAGGAAACTTAACCACAGCCTGTCACCATGAGGCAACATACCTTTGGGCTAAAAATTTAAAATCGACTTCGTTCTGTGGTTTATTACATGGCTGTCTGAGTTTCTGATACATGTTGTTTGGGGTGATTTTAAACTTGCCTGCCGTACAATTCATTTAATGAGGGAGTTTTCGCTCTTGCGGTATGTTTACTCCAGGATCCTTTCCATCGTCAAAGGAAAAACATAGCAGTAAAAAGGTGCAATTCTCGAGTGACATTTGTTTCAACTGAATCTACTGTCAGATCAATTGACAAGATCTGCTTTCCACTAGTGTAAAGTTCCCGTGGTTCGCCTATGAGGCCAATGTTGAGAAAAGACAGGAGACAACCTTTCTCGGGATGGAGCGACCCAGATTGGGGGTCTGAGAGCCCCTTTTATTGAGATAGGACAAAGGCAGGAGGAGCAATAGCATGTGCTTAAAAACAGCCTGTAAAAGTACAATTTCTAATCTACTGCTCAGTCTATATATGGTTAAATCCTGGACGTCAATGGTAGGGCACATATCAGAATGTTATGTTATGCACTATCAAGATGTTATGGCGTTCTAGGAGTTTGTTTTCTCCTGTGTGGTTCAGCGTGGCTCTGCAACTATATTACAACACACTAGAGAAAGGGGTCAACTACATCTGCCCATAGGAATGCAGAAGCACCTGATGAAGTGGGGAGATTCAACCGGTTCAGACCGGTTCAAGCGAACCGGTTGTTAAATGACCCCCCTATCAAATCTGCTATCAAAGTGAATCCTGGGCGCTGTGCTGCGCTGCAATGGAGAAATGGGCAACGAAGCAGCTGGCATGAGGAAAGGAGAAGGCCACTTTTCCTCTTTTTTCTTCCTGATCCTCCCTCGTGCCAGCTGCTCCATTGCCCATTCCTCCATTGCAGCACAGTGCCCAGGATCTATAGTGGTGGTGAGGGGTGTAATTTAACAACTGGTTCACCCAGGGTCAGCTTGGTCATCGTGGGAGGCTCATCCGAGGTGGATGAGCCGAGGTGGTGCAGTGGTTAGGGTGCAGTACTGCAGGCCACTTCAGCTGACTGTTATCTGCAGTTCAGCGGTTCAAATCTCACCGGCTCAGGGTTGACTCAGCCTTCCATCCTTCCGAGGTGGGTGAAATGAGGACCCAGACTGAGGGGGCGATATGCTGACTCTGTAAACCACTTAGAGAGGGCTGAAAGCCCTATGAAGCAGTATATAAGTCTAACTGCTATTGCTATTGCTATCCCGCATGTGCTGTGGAGTTGGAGGACAAAGATGGGCCACGACTCCCACGACAGCCAACTTGACCCCGGGCGAACCGGTTGATAAATTATTTGAATCTCACAACTGAGTTGATGATACTTATGGAAAAGAGGTCAACCAGGAGCTACTGCAACGTCAAGTGTCTCTGTGTTCCTAACAAGAAGAGGTTGACATCAGCACTCCTAAGAGTCGCAAGTCCCAGTGTTGTTTTCCATCCTCGGTCCTCCTGTTCCAAGCCTGCTGTGCTACCTCCCTCCAAATTCCTTCTGGTGTGCTCAGTATTCAACAAAAGGCTCTGCACATCTGCTGCAACAAGAAACAAGCTTAATTACTCCTGGGATTTTAGCCCATCTGTAGAACACGATGAGCGCTTGCTATTCTCCTTTTTTTTTTTTCCCAAGGGATATTCATTAATCCCATCAATGGCATTGGAAAGATGTAGAACAGAGGCCTAGAGTAATTACAAAGTGCTTGGTTCAATAGAAGAGCACAGGAAGATAATGATGGCTGATTGTATCCCCATCATCGTCATCGCATCGAGGAGCCGAAAGCTGCTTGCAAATGACAGCTGGCTGATGAATCTGGTGCGAAAAAGAAATAGGAAAGCTGAACACCCGGAGAAAAGGGTTCTGTGGGCAGCAGCATCTCACATCCTGGATCCCCCAGAGTGTTCGGGAAGAAAATGAAGCAAAGTAATTGCAGAGAGAGAGAGAGGGAGAATGAGAATGAAAGAGAGAGAGACAGAGAGACAAAGAGAATGAAAGAGAGATAGAGAAAGAATGAAGGAGAAAGAATGAAGGAGGATGAGAGAGAATGAAAAAGAGAATGAGAGGGAATGAAAGAGAATGAGGGAGAATCTGAAAGAGAAAGCATGAGAAAGAGAATGAAAGAGAGAGAGAGAATGAGAGAGAAAAAGAATGAAAGGGAATGAGAGAAAGAATGAAAGAGATGGAGAAAAAGAATGAAAGGGAATGGAGAGAGAGAGAGAATGAAAGAAAGGGAGAATGAGAGAGATTGGGAGAGAATGAAAAAGATAGAATGAGATGAGAAAAACAATGAGAGAGAGGATGAAAGAGAGAATGAGACAGAGAGAATAAAGGGAGAATGAGAGTCTGAATGGATGGCTCGTGTGCCCACCCGTCATGTATTGCTCGCGCATGTGCAGTTGACTGTAAATTGTACTGTGCATGCAAAGAAACATGCCAGCAATGGCAGAAGAGACCGGGGAACCAGTTTGGGGGCGTGGCCAGCCTGGGTCTCTGCTGGTTCTGCGAGGCTAAATCACCATTAACGGTTCAGCCAAATCAGGCCAAACTGGGAGGAACCCACCTCTGTTAGTTTGGGTAATGAAACATCTGCAAGAAAACAACCAAGCTCAGAGAACACCAAGGACCTTCATTTCAAACCTGAGCCTCAAATCTTTCCTTTATCACTATACATACTCACGAGTAGCATGGTAGCCTTGTGGTGAAGACGCTTGCCTCCCATTCAGAAGGTTAATAGTTCAATCCTAGGTAGCGGCAGATGTTTCTCTCTCAGGGCACAAAGAGAGAATATCTGCTGTGAACTCCATGTGGGCATCAGGAAGGGCATCTGGCCAGCAAATGCTCGGTGCCATTCAGTCACCCCAACCCCACCTGAATTAAAGGGACTGCAGGATTTTTTAAAACAAAAAAAAGTCAGTATCCATACACACACTCCAATGGACTTTATCAGGAATGAATTCTTAAGAAACCATTGATTCAATGTTCCTATAACATTCCCATGCTGTGATTGCTAACATTCTGTTAAATAAGCTGTTTATTATTTTTAAATGCACATCAGGGTCAATAGACCGAACAATTAAAATCTATTCAACAATTGGATAGTCTTAATGAACGGCTGTTTGTGTTGTTTAACAAATTGTTTCACTTCACAGTTCTGCGTCATATTCATTCAGTCTTCGCAACTATTCATCTTCTGCAGGGGGACAAAAAACAGAATTTCGTCTATAAATGAATTGAAGGTACAAGAACCAAATGAACTAACATTGTCTGTTCCTGATGAATAAACACACATCTAGAGGAGGGGGGAAAAAGAGCTTTTAAAAAGCGTAATCAATTTATCCAATTTTTCCATTAGATCTCGCTCACTGTAAAATCAGTTTGAGGATTCTGTTGTTTGCGGTTAGTCTTAAAATAAACACATGAATTCTACTTTGAGAACATTAAAAAATAAACAAGAAAAGACAAGCCTTTCCAGGTAGATAGGCTTATAGCAATTTATACCAGGCAGGGTAGTGATTGAAAAACCCCATCGTTGCAAGTTTTTAAGGAAAGATTGAACAACAATTTGTCTGAAAATGGAATAGGACAGTAATGGTGAACCCATTGGCATGCATGCCAGAGGTGGCAGACAGAGCCTCTCTGTGGGCACATGCACCATTGCCAGCTGCTCTTCCGCTTCTGGTTTCCGGCAAGTTGATCTTCACGGGCACCAGGGTACTGGAAAATGGCCTGAAAAATGCCAAAAAACAGGCTGTTTTTTTTTTCAGGCAATTATTCAACTCTTTTCCAAGCAGGTTTCTTTGGATGTATTTGGCCCCAAAACAGCATAAAACTACCATATTTTTCAGAGTATAAGACGCACCTTTTCCCCTCAAAATCTGAAAATCTGGCTGCATCTTATACACTGAGTACAGCATTTTTGGCCTCCCGAAACTCTGTCCCCTTCACCAAAATGGCCGTGCATAGCCTTTAGGAGACTTTCAGAATGCTCCTGGGGGCTGGGGTGGGGAGAAATGAGTGAAACATGGCCTGCTTTCTGCTCAATTTTGCCCCCACAGCCCCCAGGAGCACTCTATAAGCCTCCTATGCATCAGAGGTGGGTTCCTACCAGTTCGCACCTATTCGGTAGAACCGGTTCGTCAAATCTACCGAACCGGTTAGAAGAGGTTCCACCAGTGGACCCGGAAAGCAGGCCACACCTACAGAAGAGGTTCCAAAAAATTTTGAAACCCACCACTGGTCCTTGGATATGATTATTCTACACTATCATGCTCATATTTATAAAACTCAGTGCCTCTGTGAAAGGTAAGGATGACTACTGCGTTTGTGGTGCAATCAGAACATTGTGTGTGTTGTAGTTGTTTTAACGCAAACCAATGATGCCTTTTAAAAAACAAGTTGACATCATATTCTTATGCATGCCAGTGCTGTGTGTGAGGTAATTTAAGGTGGTTCTGACAAGTGTCATCAGCATCTTCATATCCGGTCACATGGGCGGCAAGCCACTCCCATCCGGTCACATGGGTGGCAAGCCACTCCCACAAAGGAGGCCACACCCACAGAGTAGGTTCGAACAATTTTTGAAACCCACCACTGCTATGCATGCTATTTTTTTGAAAAAAGGGCCCATTTTCGTGATAAATGAGCGATTCTTTGCTCGTTGTTGGGCATCCCCACCCTCCCTTTTTTGGGGAAAAAAACAGGCCCATTCTCATGAAAAACAGCCCGTTTTTGGGAGGTCTGCGGAGTGCAAAAAATATATTTTTTTTCATTTGCCTCTTCAAAATCTTGGTGCGTCTTATACTCCAGCGCGTCTTATATTCCGAAAAATACGGTAGTCTGAAAACGGCCCGAAAATTGGCCAAAAACCAGGTATGTGTGTACTGTGCACCCGCCAACTGGTCTTTGGGTTTCTGGTATTCCAGCGCATGCACACGCGCATTCTGGTTTGGATACTCAGTGCCGAAAAGGTCCGTCATTGCGGCTATAGGGTCTTCTGCTTGGTTGGACTAAAAGACCTCCAAGGACCATTCCAACTCTGCTGTTATGTTATTCCTGGGCTTGATCTCTCCTTCCCTTTAATGTTTCCAGGTGGGAAAAAATGGTGTGCCTTGCTGTTCCCATTTGTTTAGAGTGAGCCCTGCCTGAACCATGCTGGGCATTTTTGCCAATCTCATGTGGGATGGCAGAAGAGCCCGGAGGTGAAAGGGATGCCCAGTGTTAGTGAGCCTTTTCTGTCTCTCCAGGCTCTCTGAGTGGAATACCAGGACTTTAAATCATGCTTAGGGAGTGAGAAGAAAACAGAGCCACCATCTGGGAAGCAGGTGGCCTGTCAAATCAAAAGGAGCGTAAGCAACTCAGTGCAAATCTCTTTCCGTTGGTGAGCCTGAAACAGGCTTCAAGGCAAACCTTCAATCAAGATATTCAGTCATCCAGGTAGAGTTGAAGTTGAATGGAAGTTGAAGTTGAATCATGGCAACTGGATCTTTCTTCTTCTTCTTCTTCTTCTTCTTCTTCTTCTTCTTCTTCTTCTTCTTCTTCTTCTTCTTCTTCTTCTTCTTCTTCTTCTTCTTCTT